GACTACCTACATTCTAAAAACTGCATGCATAGGTACGATGATTCCTTACTAAGAAAAGGGATGCTATCCGTGAAAACATCCATCGTAGGGATATCGCATGCCGGAACTGCCTCATCAATGTGGCCCAAAATGTTGTTAAGCTTTCTGATTTTGCTTATCCAAACAAGCTGAGAAATATAATATTCCGGAGAACGAAAAATTGTCACTCAAACTGGTATGTTACAAGGACCACTTTTACGTCACTTTCTCAAGGCTTCTCACTAATACAGGCAAGCTCCCGAGGTTATCTTGACCAGAGTCTACACAGCAAAATGTGATGTATATTCTTATGGCATACTTATTTGGGAAATATTCCATAACGCTGAGACACCATTCAAGGGAATTGACAACAAAAAGTTGAGAGCCAAGGTGAGGCATCGTTTCGTAATTCTCAAGAGTCGTCAATCCTATGTAGGTCCAAAACCCGAAACGCTGTGTTTTCGGACATGACACGATGTCACATGGGTGCGTGCACTTATAGTTAGATACCCGGGTGGGCGTGGCCACAGAGGCAAGGCTTCGAAATGGACCGGTGTTTCCCAAAGCTTGTGCTGCAATAGATATTTTAGACGGGAGCACCGTTTACAAGGCAAACGTTCCTATTGTCTTCTCAAGGTGTGCATGTTGATTTCATGATCATACGTAAGACCTGATAACCACTTTTTCGCCTCTGCCTAATGTATACCTTTGCAAAAAGCATAAATTCCAATCTAAGTTAATTCTTCCTCTCGGAACTTCTTAGTTCAAGCAGTAGAAACACAGCTGTTTAATAAGAAGGAAATTATCGTCTCCAAGCTCAGGAAGAAGCGCTGAAGCTCAATTATATCCGTCCACGTCAAGCCCTCGCTCTATTTTGGCCACGCCCACCGGGTATCTAAGTCACGTAGCCGATGTCACATAGAGCGTCATTGCCAACCTGAAAAGGGGGTTGGATGTGGTATACCGTCTGCAAAAGGTGAGCACCACTTCTGCTGAATGGGACTGGTTTATACACAGTGACTTTCCTCCCTTTGGGGTATGCAAAACCTCATCTTCCAGCCACCATGCATACGGTTCCTAGGTTGTAATATCACATCAGTTGGAGGCGGTGTAGCGAGGGTGAGCGTGAACCGGCTCTGCCTCTACGAAATGATCGTCTATGATCATTTTCTAGGAAAAACAATCAGTTGCGTGACAAGCCGCAATAACACAAGCCTCACCACTCTTGAAAGGACTCGCAATGAATGCAATGATACTAGCGACCGCATAAGAACATTCGTAATCACTACAATGTAACAGGTCGTCATGCAGCGTGACATATCCTAATCCCGTCTTGTAAATTGGTTTCCCTTCCATAGAACAATAGCAACATAGCACGAGAAAAAAGTATCTGGTCGAATGTCTACTGATCTCAAAACGTTTCAGATAAGTAATCCGAATTATCGTCCCCGATTAGATCCTGAACTACCCATTGTTTGCTAAGAAAGTAATAAGAACGTTGCAAGCAGATTCCAGGAGAACAAGCGCCCAATACAGAAGTGCTACTTTACCTCCTCAAGGCTCCTCCAGAATTGTGAGTCATACTTGCGACATCTGATACCCTGCTTCAGAAAGATGAAGCAAAAATAGATAGGATATGAACTGCCACAGGACGGACATAATTCTTATCTGTTTGTTGGCTACACCTTTTTGGTCTGGGGGCGGGGCTGAACTCCGACGTGAAAATGTATTTATGCGTATGTCTGTCTGAATAACTGCCCAAAAAATGCTCCTTGGTGTGATGAAGGATTGGCAACGTTGGCAAGATGAGGGCTGCAACGCTCATCAAATGAGCCACAAAGGTGGGAGTCGTACTACTGTTTGAGAAACAGTGAATAAAACCCTCAGTTATGACCTCAATCGAATCGTAACGCCGACGTGACAAAAACAAGTGACTACGGGTACGAGCGATCCTTTAGTTTTCGTTGCGCAAGTGCCCTGAGATCATGTTTCGAGGACTTGTACACCAAGCCCTTGAGAACCTTGAAGTTACAATCCAATACTTGGAACTTTTCCGCAAGTCGACATTCAGGGAGGTCCGTAATTTTACAAGCCGCATGGTGTGCGTGCTAGCTCGCTACTGGAAAGTAAGTGTTGACGGCGCTAAGAATTCTAGCACCCTTGCTCAATCACATTCTAAGCCCACGAACGTACGGGTACCGCGCACTGTTACAATAGGTTTCCTCTATCTCTCTTGCGTTGTTCCACCGTTGTTGTCTCTGTCCCCTTCGAACGCTGAAATCCGAAGCGGTCCTTATTTCGGGAAATGTCGCCAGTTTCCTCTGCTCCATCCTTCTTGGGCCAATTTGAAGGTGCACATTCATACAGTACTTCATTTCATTACCTAAGTCCTCTATTCGCATAATGTCTCCTCAATGCGAAAATCTCCGTGTCCATGTGAACAGGATAAATTAAGTCTCTTAGGCTCGAACCATGTAAGAAGAAGCCGGAACCTCCTAGAAAATCTGCAACTACTGATGGCCATGTCGGTGGTTCGGCTCGATCGTCATCTAGACGCACGAAACATCGAACTGTGGTAACATGTTACCGAATTACTGGTCTGAGCCTTGGAATAGAATCTGTTTCTCTAAAGATCACTAGTCATTTGTGCTACAAACAGAAAGCACTGTCCAGAGACTCTCGAACTTCTGACCGAAAATTCTCTACAATTTTCACTGGTTGCTGCACTAGCTAGTCTCGACTAGTGGAGAGGGTTTCGATGCCTTTTTTGCTTGTTTGTAAGACTATGAACAGAAAGTAATTATAAGGCCAGCCTTTCTTCAAAGCGATAGGGATAGCAAGAATATTTCCAAACATGAAGTTACTTTGTCAAATTTATTTTCCATCAGACCCAACAGTCAATCATAATTGGGTGTTGTTCTCACAAGGCGACTCATAGCCTAGGAACGGACCACGGCACCCCGAAACGAAGCAAAAGATTTAGTAAACTTATTTGATAGTGAGACTAACAACAAGGAAACTTAGACTTGGAGCGTTTCTTATGCGTGCATTAATTAGGAAGCTAATTCATCGAGGAGCAAAGTTCAGGTGAGATTGACCAATTTCATTCTTCAAAGTAAGTATTAGAGAGTGTTTTCTTTATTGCCACGGAAATCAAAATTACGCTGTCATAGTACTTATATTGTATCCAAACATGAGCTGTTATTTGTTTGAGCACACCTTATGAATGGTGAAACGTGAGCCTTTTTCTTATGCGAGATGAATGCAACGATATGTGTAGCCCATTAGCTATTCAATAGTGCGCTGCAAAGGAGCTGGAAGCTACGGACAAATTGAAATCTGTCTCTCAGGAAGCGTAAACCCTTTTTTGGGCAGTCTGTCATCCGTACTACATTCTATGGTCTCTGTGACCTCAAAAGTTCCAGTTTTTCTAACGAGCGGCTGACCATCCCCGTCGTCCTCTCCCGCTGAGAAAGCCCATATTGTGGCTTGCCGCTTGTGTCCTGCACATCTGTATGTTTTGACAGCCATTTCCTTTACTTTCTGCGTTACACCGTTTCGCAACAGCACAGTGCATAAACAGCAATGTCCATAACCGCTTGTCATGGTTTATTAATTCCTATATCTTGACATGTCGTTCCATTCCAATATAGCCACGCCGCGCTGCTGTGCTGGCCAGGCGTGAAATCATAATCAGGGGCTGTGTAGGGTCAGGCGTCTGGGTGGTTGAAGCATACGACGTGATTTTGGAATGTTGTCGTATACCGGACCGCCGGAGATATGGTGGGACCAACAGAGGAGAAGAATTTGAAAGTGAAAGAAAACGAAAATGTTGAAGGAAACGCTCCGAGAAAAATCTAGGGAAAACAGCGTTGATCCACTAAGCTGCTCAACAGAGGAATCCTCTTAATCATCACCCTTACCGCATGATCAGTGAATAAATCTCGACGAACAAAGGACACAAAAGATGAAAGACCAGAAGATTCCTTCTTTTCAATAGGCACAACGCTACTGTTGTGGGGGCTATAGGAGCGGAATGACGCCCGTCGCGGGGAAATTAGCCTAGAACCTCATTACCTCAGCAAAAGTTCGGCCAGCATGGTCACATCGTCTAGTCGACGTTAATGATTTTGGGATTAGCGATCTCCCACTCCGACAATAGCTCCAGCAGTCTTTGCACCAATAGTAGCAGCCGCTGCGCGATCATTCTGATTTGATTCGGAAGCTTCTGTTACCGCCTTTTGACCGACGGTATCACCTCATTTTGTCCCCCGGCATTTAATTTTAGAAGAGCTGCATCAAGGATAATTTTTTGTTTGAAGATTTCATTACTCAATCGCAGACCAATATAAACCCCTCGACGGGTGTATTACCATCGGTCCTAGCCCACCATCTACCACTTTTAAATAACGAAAAAAGCGGAAACTGACACTCAAGTCTATGTCCTTTGGATACATACATAAAAAGGATAAAGGATAAAGTCTTCGCCGTTGATCAATCCCTTTGTGGGATGCGGCACGCATTCTACTTCCATTCAGAATCGTAGTGGGTTATTGAATGCGATGTGGCCTATACAATGACTTGCGGGGCCAGCCGATGTACAAGTCAGTGTTTTATCCTCCCAGACGAATCTGGTACCAATTTACCGTCCCCGGAGGGTAGAAGGCTTGGTTGGCCTGGGCGGGAGTCGACCCGGGATTCGAACCCGGGACCGCGCGAATGGTGAGCGCCCCACTTGTCACTACACCATCTCCGCCTCTTTTTGGATACATACATGTAGTAAATATGATTAGTTTATATTAACGCATCGGGTCGGTCATCATCAAGAGTTAGGAAAAGCTCGATGAGTAGTCTGGAAGGTTATACATGCAATGCTCATCAGCGTTTGTGACGTTGCAATAATCTTACTATGATTTTCCAATGTATACCGAATTTTCGAAGTGCACTGTTGACTCCTTTCCCTGTAGACCGCATTCATCTGTAGAGTGTAGTGATTAGGGTCAGTATTCTTGTCCGCTACTGCTTTGTGACGACAGGATGACACTTGAAAGCCGAACTAGTTTCTCAGTCTTGTGCCTCTAATTTGGATGACCTGGGAATGACCATGTCATTTGAAGGTTTTTTTGTGAAGGGCCATTTGAAGGTGGAGATTTCGCTGTTCTTCTCTCACTCACGCACACATGAACGCAACGATGAACACAATGTCCTCACTTTTTGCTTCTTCTATCTAAAAACTGTCGTCGTTCCATTTTCTGCCAGAATTTCAACTGCCATAGTGACTGCTTTTTGGATCGAGACAAGGAAGATCAGAGAGCTCAATAGTTCTCACGCATCGTCACTGGGTAAAAATACCATCCTTGGTCTTAGTACCGTATCTGGTAGTCGTAGTAGAAGAATGTTATCAACCTGTGCTCCCGTTGATCATCGAGTTTCTCGAGCGGGCGCCAGTAACATCTCCATTCGTCCCTGCAACGTGCGAAGAGTTGCCCAATGGACTCTCTCTGCTCGAGGGACACGATGAACTTCATACCATTCGTTCAGAGCTTTCACGAAGAAGTCTGACCATCGCATAGGCGGTCGTCCAGGCGTTCGCTTGACATCCCGTGGAATCCAGTCGGTGATTGCTCTGGTCCAGCGGTCGTCCTCGAAGCGCATGACGTGCCCTGCCCACCTGATCTCCGAAACCTTTGCGAATGCGGCGGCGTCTCTAATCTTCGATCGTCGGCGGAATGCGGAGCTCCGGATTCCCTCTCACTTGCGTGTAGCGGGAAACTCCGAGCATCGCCCTTTCGATGGCGCGTTGAATAACGCCAACCGCATGCTCATCCTGCTTTCGTAGAGTCCAAGTCTCTGAGGCGTACGTCAAGGCAGGAAGGACCGCGGAATCGAAGAGGTGGGCACGGAGCTTGGTGTTCTTCGTCTTCTTCGCTACTCCCTCGATGTTCTTGAAGGCTCCCCAAGCCGCTCGCTTCCTCCTGCTCTGGTGCTAAGCATTCATCATATTGATTTCACGACCTAGGTACACATAGCTAGAGCATTCAGAGATGGTCGTTCCGTTGAGCGTGAATGGGGCATCAGAAACCAATCCCGTTTCTCATGAACATCGTCTTCGTTAGATTCAGCCGTAGACCGATTTTTCCAAATCAGCCAGTATTCGCTCCGCTTGTTCGACGCTGCTTGCTCGATGTTTGGTGTTATCAAAACGATGTCGTCAGCAAAGCGAAAATGGTGTAGTTGCCGACCGTCGATCCCTCACTCACATGTCTTCCCATTCCAGTTGACGCATGACGTTCTCGAGAGAGGCGCTGAAGAGCTTGGGCGAGATGGTGTCGCCCTGGCGGACCCCTCTCTTCACATCGATGATGATCTCCTTGTAGAATGGTGAGATCTTGGTCGTGAAGTTGCTGTAGAGCTCACGAAGAATCCTGATGTACTGAGTAGGAATACTCTATTTGCCCAGAACCAAATAACCGCTTCTGTCT